AAAAAAAAACATCGTGAAATAGTAAACAAACTATTCCATGTGAATATATTTGAGGTCCAATCGATTGATAGAATGCACATATAATCAATAGATGTTTTCAGACTCTTTTGCACATGTAATCGAGGCATTAATGTTGGATTGGAAATTGATTATTAAGATTTAGAATTGATTATTTAATTTCGTAATTGAGTGAATAGATAGATGGATGAACGGACGGAAGAATGAATATAAAAGAAGAGAAAAGAATGTATATGATTTCATGCAAATATTTCGATTTTTGTTTAGATTTCATGAAAATAGTTCGCTTTGAGGTTTGATTTCATGTAAATAGTTCGATTTGAGGTTCAAATTCATGCAAATAGTTCGATTTTATTTAAATAACAAACATCTAGTGATACAAGTTAGTTCAAGTTGAACATTCAAACAGTGAAGTTATCTTTATTATCACATCATGCGGTTGAATACAATTCAAAAGGCTGAAATTTTAGCTAAATTGAATGATGGAGTGAATGGTAATCGTTTAGCAAAAGAATATGGCGTTGCTAAATCTACGATTTCATTATTAAAAAAACGTAAATATGATGAAATGCTGCAGCCCAGGAAAAGAAGTGGAACTTTTAATCAACCATCGAGTGCGAGCGAGAGTGATAATGAATCAAATCGATCAAACAATACATCTAATGAGGACGAGATTGATGATGAAGTCGATGATAATTTTCATAGTGATGAGAGAGTTAAGAAAGAATCGCATGAATTGCCAATTTTCCGTCAACTCAAGCTGTATAAACCATCGACTGAAATGAATAAGAATGAACATGATGACTATGATACTACTACTGACGAATATGATGATGACGAGGAGGAGGAAGATGAGAGCGAGGAAGATGAAGAAGATGTCAATGAAATATGTAGGAAATTGCGACGCGTATGCGACAATTTGTATGTTCCGACTCAATCATTGAGTGAAATGTTGAAATTATTTTCTAAATTACGGAGCGGTGGCTACATTGAGGAATCGTTATAAGAATAAAGTATACATTGAAAATTGTAACATATCATGAAAACAGATAAATAAAACAAACACGGTATTTTTTTTTTCAACAAAAAAACAAATCTTTTCATTTCATATTTATGTGTATATATTATAAAGCAACCATATAGGTTTGATTTGAAACATTTTACTTTGAATTATTATACAGAGACTTTCATAATTTTAACTAAAATGTTACTCTTCTATGAAAATCAATGAAAACTGTCTTATTTTTGTATATAATTTACTATTTTTGCTTAAAATTATATGAAAATTTACGTTTCACCTAACAATAAATTTTCTCAATCTCACTAATTTCATGATGACCCCAAGCTAGCGTATCAATACCATTCGAACGAATAAGGTAACGCTTATCGTCGAACGGATTTAAAGCAATTTTTTTCTGTTTAATTGTGAATATTTGATGTGATTTCGAACGAAGGTTATGCTGTTCACGTAAAATATTACAATTTTTCTCGATACAGTCAACATAATCGCTAAATGCAATTTTACGTTTCACTATATTCTTTTTGATACCTTTAGACTTTTTAATAACTTTAGATTTTTTATCGATGTTACAATTCTTTTCTATGCAGTCAACATAGTCACTATCTGTCATAACGCGAGGTGCGACAGTTCTTTCTGGACATTCACATTTTTCTATTTTAGCTGTAAACGGTAGTACAGCGTAGCATTTTGCACGTAGACCGACAAATTCTGCTAAAATCTCCCCGTTTAATTCATCTTTAAAAAGACCGGGGCACTTTTTTATTCCTTTGAGGCATTTTGAAAACATTATTCTCCGGATAATCGCTTGTATCGTAGCGATTCAAGTGTTGCTTCATATCATTGTAGAAATCATCCGTTTGAATGGAAAGTATGAAGGAGTCAGTGTCCGTATAGGCAACTGCACAATTTTTTCCATATTTAGGTTTTAAAAAGTCGTACAGAAAACTGTACATCGTTATTTTCGATATGTCCAAGATGGACATACCGATAATTATCGGTTTATTCATTTTAATATGTGTTTTTTGTAACTCAATTACTGCTAAATCTTCATTGAGAATCTTGCATTTCTTGAAATTTGGTCGAGCAATTAACATGCTTGCACCACATCGCCCACCCCACTTGTTGACAAGTTTGATATCTGCACGTAAACGCAGATTCTCCATCGTTTTACCAAAGACGGAGTTTATCATATATTTAAAAAACGACTTTTCAAAGTCGTTGGTAGCTTGTGTACGTAGTTGTGTGTTGATATCGACGTAGGGCTTTAACCAGCAACTTTGTTCGAATTGAAGTACTCGATGTACTTTTTTCAATACTAGACCGTGTTGTAATGCTAATTTGAGCATGCGATAATGAATGATATAATTTTCTTTATCGTATAACGTTAACAATAATTTATCGATTTTATTCGGTTTTATGCCGATAATATCGAACACTTCTTGCGGAAGCGTTCGCTTTTCAGCACAAAATGGAAAATCATTATGTGTAGCATGTAAATTTTTTGGATATTGTAGATCCACCTCGAATATATAGCCATATTCCGAATCGTCAGCTAATTTGACTATTTCATCTGCATTCGAAAAAGATGTCTTTACAATTTTGTCATCAATCCATTTGAAATCCCTCAGCGGTAATGGTTGTGACATTGCATGTCCATACAGATTATTTGCTATTATTGTGAATGAAACAAAATGAAATTAGATTCTAAAAGACCATGAATTTGATTAAAGATAAACTGGGCAAATAAAATATTATTTACCATCTAAATACATTAAATAATTTGACGGTTTCTCATCATTGTATACATCTCCCATGTATTTATGGTTGGCTTTGACTTGACGTTTACTGCACTGACTTATGCCACCTCGAATTCCACGTTCGATGAACAGCAACATTTCCACATCAGTTAACAGTTCAATTCTCACTCCGGTATATTTGAGCATGGCATCCCACGAAAGACCTGGAGCTGTATAGTAGTTTGCCGGATCCAAACTGTAAATTGTATAGCATGTATTTCGAAAATTTTCAAATACGTCGGCCAATAGTAGCACATCAGTCTTTAGATATAGTTCGGAATAGTCTCCGAGCGTTTTACAGTTGAATTTCCGCCAGATATCGTGAGCAAATTGGTAATCGTCTTCCGATATTCCTTCTCCACTAAGTTGGCTGTAAAAATCTGCCTTTGATGGTAGATTTGCCTCCTTCAGCTGCTCCATACCGCTCACATATTCATAAGGAGAAACGCCTTTACGTTCAAGCATAGCGATTTGTTCTGGTGTGTAGCCATTTTTCTCACATTCGTTATACAATATTTGTTTTTTATCTGCTGGTAGTAGTGATGCTAACTCAGCTAGAGATGCAGGCATGAATCGGCATGAATCAATGAATTTAAATTTTACGTTTTCTCTCGTATTAAGCCCGCGTGTACTCCCTGTCACTACTTTTGTGAAAGCGATGTATTGTTCCACATTAGCTGGAATAATTGAAACATCTCCATTCATAATATTATTTGCTGCCAACTCTTTTATGAATAAATGTGAGTCGTAACCCGACAAATTGTGCATAATAACGGGTACAACGTGGCTATCTTGGAACTGTAAGTTGCATGCTTGATGGGCTGGACCTCTATATCGACCGGTGAGATGACAGTGATCATGTACTCTAATATCATTTGCTTCAAAAATATCACCACAAATTGTACATAATGCATTTGGATCGTGGAATGCATATCTCTCATCTTCAGTTAGCGGTAGCATTGGTATGTTTTTATCAAATAACCTTGCAACTCCATGAGCAATTTCTTTCAATTCTGCGATGAACCATTCGACGCAATCGGTACGATTGCCGCTGCCTCGGTAATATGAAAATGAGTCGTCAAATTCACATTTAAAGTAATATCCAACGCTGTACATATGATGCTGCTGATATGCGCTTGTTGCACATTCCTCACTAAATATACGTTTCTGATCTTCCATACTGAGCTCCTTCAGATACGCTTCAGTATCAGCGTATATAACAAATGGTGCTTTCAGCTGATGTTCATAGTTGTCAAATTTCATCCATTTCCATGTTTGATCGGGCATTTCAATGCTACACTCGTTTGTACATTTTGCAATATGTTTCGATAATTTTTCATTTGTATCATAAAATATTAGGCATCGATCGCAAATGAAATATCGAGATTTATGATTACTTAGCTGACTGCTGACAAGACGGCTCAAATTTTTTATCCAACAGTAATGAGTTCGAATTGAATCATTATTGTAGATCTCCTTAATCATGTTGGAAGTGCTAGCTATTTTATTAACACTTTCTCTGTTTTTGATTAGCAGCAAATGAATATGATGCTGCTTAACTTCATTACTCACACGTAATGGACATATGCGACCCTCATTTTCATCATCGTAATAGTATAAATTTATCGATATATTGTTGTTTTGTCGAACAAATTTGTCGATTTGGTTCAAGCGAACGGGAAAATCGATTCCATCAAAATTCAATTCGTTCTCATATTGATAATAATGACGAACTCGCTCTGGATGATCAGTTACCGGGTGTAAAGCAGATAAAATAGCCCATTTGAAGCACATTTCATCATGTTCATTTTGTACGTTGATAATTGCTTTTTTATACCGTAGTTTTTTAGGAGTTTGAATATACGATGAACCGTGTAATGGGTTATATAAGTTGACGTGAACATTCAATTCGATTATGCGGGCGAGCGTAAATCCAGAACCGCGGAATGTAACTTGTTCTACACTTTCCACTATTTCTTGAACGATCTGTTTTCGAAAATGTTCATGTAGGTCTACGTTTATATCAAGCTTCCGTGTGTGCGTTGGGAGATATATAGTCTCTTTCTCCGTTAACTCATGACTATGATTACCGCCAGTATCATCATCATCGTAAGAATCATTATTTTCATCTGTGTTTACATTTTTTTTTTCAAACTCTGCTACGAATACAGTCATTGACTTCACGTTAATATAATTTTCAATATTTTTCGTAAGTTCCGAGCGATATATATAAAAAGCATCGCTTAGAAATATTTCAATATCAATATGTCCATTGTTTACAATAGCGAAATCGTTTATTCGTCTATTAAATGCATTTTCACGCACTTGTAGCTCAACACTAGGGACATCTTCAATTGTATTAGAGGACGGTGACATCATTGTTACTCAGATCGATATTAACGTTTTTCACGGGGCGTAATTCCATTTTGGTATATCAATATGAACCGTTCCTTTCGGAACGCACCGAACAAAAATTACAATTCGATTGATCCAGTTGTATCACCAGATGTTTGACATTTAATTATAATGAAACCTCGAATCGAGTGTGTTTTTAGGAAATCGAACCTCAAATCGAACTATTTTCATGAAATCGAGCCTCAAATCGAACTATTTTCATGAAATCGAACCTCAAATCGAACTATTTTTTCATGAAATTGAACCTAAAATCGAATTATTTTCATGAAATCTAAACAAAAATCGAAATATTAACATGAAATCGAACTATTTGCATTAAATTGAATATCAAATCGAACATTCTTACATAAAATAATTCGAATTATTGATGAAAATAAAAATGTAAACAGACACAATAGTAGCGAAAAAGCACAGTGTAAAATGCAACAACGATAACATGAACAAACGTTCACTATCGCGACAGTAATGTATTCGTTCAATGAACTCGTTCAAGGTTAAAAACTACAATTAGTCATACAATTGCAGCCATGTAATTCATGCTATTTCATTATGTGATGAAATATAAAGCAAATGTACGAGACGATGATTTATGCTTCTTCGTGAATCGAAGAAACGAGTATATACATGTGAGAGAGAGTGGGAGAAAGAAACTAGAAGAAACAATTGTATGTGTGTGTGTGTGTGTGTAGCGTAAAATATAGCGATGATATATGATTATTTGCATCGCTTCAGTCATTGTTGTTGTTGTTGTTCATAATACATTGTTATGCATGCAGATGGATGAATGTTGCTTTTAAACTTGAATCTCAATGCGATAAAAATTAAAAAATGAAGATTTCGTTTGTTGAACATTGTTTGCAACGAATAAGACAAACCGCTGAAATGATAAGAGGGACGACGCGGCAGCGAACAAAATATTGTCCACCTAACTTATTGTTATATGGTAGATGTACAGCAAACGGAATAGCGTATTAAAGAATGAAATTGTATATTTTTTAAAGTCATATGTGTGTGATCGAGCATTAAAATAAACAAACCATTCGCATAAATGAAGCAAAAACTGATATGCAAAAATCATGTCTGTACATGTCGTTGATTTTCTTTCTTTGTCCTTCTTCATATAATTAGATAGGTAAGTGAATAGAAACCAACCTGTTTTGTGATCTTAAACTGTGTTAGATGAACTTGGTTCATAGCCGCAAAAACCGATTATGTGTATGTGTGTGTGTGTGTGTGTCTTGTTCGATCATTCGTATACTTCTTCTTCGCGTCTATGGTGTACGGCCATACATTTTGAGTGACTTACATTCTTTTTACGTGAACAAGAGTGATATTTTGTTTACATAGCACCAATCGGCATGCGGAAATACAATAAATTAACCAATTTTTTTGAATTTTTGTTTGTTCTTATGATAGTTTATGAATAAATAAAAGGTTCTGTCGGGCTAACTCAAAATCTATCAAATCGCGACTTGGCTCTGTTTTCTTCTTAATTCGTCATATCTCTTTAGTATGAAAATTCTATATATTAATAAATATTATTTACACATATGAAACAAATTATGTTTTAATTCCAATGTTTGTTGAGACAGTTTCCGATGCATGGAAAATAAAGGGAATTTATGGCTTGTTGACAGCAAAATGAATTTTGTTCCGACCTAATTAGCGATTTTTTTGCCAAATAAAATACAATACAGTTAATTCTTTTTAGAATATTTTATTATGATATTTATATACATGTACATGTACATGTACATAAGCGATTACCACGGTGATACATGGATTTAATCCTCTTTGAGGTGATGCCAGGGACTCGGATTGTAAATACCTAAAGAAACGAAACAAAAGTATAAAGATAATTTAACGTTCGGAGAAGGTGATACTCAATTAGATAGGTAAAACCCAGTACGGTTTAAGTTTCATTTAAACTGGCTTTATTCCTTCCATGGATCATATGGTAATAGGCAAAATATTCATTAGAAAAAAAATATACAGTACAATCGAAATCATCACATATTTTCAGATATTTATCATAGTGTTAATTACCAAAGATCTCTGATGGAAGAACAAAACACCGTTCCGAAACGGTTTGAATAAATATTCACTAAAACAAAGGCATTGTAAATGGCTATGTACTCATTATTTTACTACTAATTTTTTTTAAAGTTTGGATTACAAAGTAAGAGAGAACGCTTGGAAAATTTTCCAAACAAATGAGCTCTAAAATCGAAATGAATCAAACAATTTTTTCGTTTTGTCCATAGTAACACATTCATCGGATTAACATTAACGAAGTAATCAAAGTAACATTACAAAAAGTACTGAAAAATAGAAAAAATCAGATTTTTTGACGAATTGGATAACATAATTTTTTTTTCATTCATGAGTGGCGGATTGTTCTCCATTTACGCCACGGAATTTTCTCCATCGATTTGCCACGGGTTCCATGATTCTTCCCCGATTCAAGTAGACAATGCGAACATAGTTACGAAAGTATTGAATGTGGTAATATGCTTCTCAAGGTCTTTATTAACTGCATGCAAAACAACTGCAAAGATAACAGTGAACAATGCCAAACCTAATTTGAAAAAGATTCTCTCCCAATTAAATCCTATTCTTGATAAAGCTGTAACATATGTCATTGTAGGGGATGATGTTAATGTGTACTGAGCCTCTCGTTCATGTTGATTGTTTGACATGGTTGGCGTTGCAGCTTCTGAACGATCGATCTGATCAATCACATCAGCTAAATACAATTGAAAAAAATAGAAAAAAAAAGGAATCAATTATATGTCGTTTTGTAATATTTTTCAAGTGAGAACGATTTGAAATTACTCAGCGTTTCCGGTGTTATTTCTTGTCGATTGTTTTTTTTGGCTTTGGCAACTGAAGACACCGATGTTGTTGCATCACATTTTCGTTTGTTGTTTCGGTCCTCTTCAGAGAATATACACCAGTAAATTCTCTGCCCCCACCCGTCTTGTGGTGGATGAAATCCACTTTCAGTTGCACGAACCGCACTGGTGAAATTGTCGTCTTCAATGCGATACTTCAGGCCGGTTAATTGGCCAAAATGGGACCGCAAAGTTGAAAATGACACGGTTCCATCTTCCTCTAATGGGAACCTCGTGGGTTCGCCACCTTCCTCTCGGGCAACAAATACAAAATTTCCTGACATATTATCTAAAAATGAATAGAAGAAAAAAAAAAATAAATTGATTTGATAAAATCGTCAAAAAAATGAAAAAAATATCTTTTTCGTCTAAACAGAATACGTTTATCGATTTATCGTTATTTAGTTACCGAATTTGAAAGCGACAAGTGAGGAAAAAAAAACATTCATAAAACGGCTTTAAACACATTATGAGCATGAAAGAAAAAAGAAAATGATTATCAAAACAATGAACTAAAATAAGCACAATTTGTATCTGTTTGGTCAGTTTTTACGTGCGATGTTTTTAAACGGCCGTTTTTTGCACATTTTTTTTGTATAATATTTTCGTCTTATTGTTGCCCTCAAAAAAGCAAGAGAGCGCGATACAGAGAGCAAAAAACAAAGAGAATGAGCTAGAACGAAGGAGGGAAAGATTTCATCGCTTCAGACCAAATATTTATAGATTATATTACGAAAAATTTGGTCCTTCTCTAATATGCAGAAAATATGGATATTATGACTTAAATAAAATGCGATTGCTTAAGGATTGCGCATAAATTATGAACCATTCAGAATTACCAGATGTAATGTCTTCAATTCTCTCTTTACATTTGTTTGACGATATCAATCGGTTATCTTCCCTATAATATACTGCATACATAGAAACGTTTGACTTATGGAAATTGTTCATATTAAGTACTTTTGCCATGAATGTGTCGCCCGATCAGGCGTGATCATTGCAAATGGTAACAATTTTAAAACATAATATGTATAATTCCAATCAGATAAGAAATTGAGATTGAAGAAGTAATCCGATGTAAACAAAATTTTCAGTGAATAAATATGAAAAAGTGAAGAAAAAAACAACGAGAAAGAAGAGAGACAAGAAAAAAAGAATCCATGGAAAATAAGTAAGGATAAAGACAATCATCATAGCTACTAGAATAATAATATAATGGGAAAGCCGTCTTATTGAAAGATTTGAACTTTGATTGCGAGAAAGATCATAAAACTCAGTAACGTATTGCAAATCTAGATCTAAATGCATTGTTGATCGAACGAAAATGTCACATAAGTTTTGTTAAAATCGCAAAAATGGTATATTGTTGAATTCTTTCGTTCGAAAGACCGTTACAATCATTGAAAAAGTGGGTGTTTTTTTCATTTTTCCACTATGGTGTTTAACCTCCTCACTTGAATTGTTTAGTTCCATATGATTTAAATATTGAATGAAAAATTAACTTCGATCATTTGACATTAATCAATGCGTTTACTAATGTGCGCCAATTTTTGCACATTGAGTTGTTTGCTGTAGCTACACCGCAACTTTGCAATTACAAAATATTCATTTTACAACAACATTCACTATTCGCCAATCCTTTGGCTTTGTTGATGGATGTGAGAGAATGACAATTAATTAAGCATGATATTTGATACCTGGAATTTGTTTATATTTTGCTTATAATAATCATATGCCATCAAAAAAGTGATCAAATTCGTCAGACGAATGCATAAAATGTGTAATCGATCAAGTTTGGATGGAATTGAAACCGTATTGTATTGGTGCATATCACTTTTTCTTATCGCAATTATATTTACCGTAACAAATTTTTATTTTAAAACTGAATGAAACAGTTAGCACTTATTAGTTATCACTGAAAGAATTTTTAACAAAATAGTTCATAAATAATTCTCATACTTTTTATTTTGCACAAATATCCGCTTAGTTATGTTTGCTATTTTATTTTTCCTATCCAAAATGTCTTCACAAAGTCTGCACAAATGCACTATCTCAATCAAAATCCAGTGATGCGAAATCTTTTTATTTTTTTCAAGCTTGTTGCCTTTTACACACAATTGAACAAAATATAATGGTTGCTAACAACCTCTTTTATTTTATTACTTATTGCAATTTGATGTTGATTGTCTTCATTTATTAAAATCTGTATGATTTTTAAAACAATTCATTTTCTGTCAAAATAATGTGACGTATGATATAATATATATGTGTTTGTAAGTGTGACATATGTTCCCCAATATATGAAAAGTATACCATCATATAGTGGTGCCACCTCTTGTTTAAATTTATAAAACTAAATAAAATCAAAATCAAATTCAAGCAGTTTGTTGATTTTTTTCTCTCAATTAATTTAATTTTTTAAATTCATACATTTTTTGATGGTTTTTCAATTATTCTCTTTCTATTTTCCTATGTTATTTTTCTTATCATATGCTCAAATGGATTATGTCATTAAATGAAAAATTAACAACAACAAATCGTTCATTTTTTTTAACAGTGATCGTGCTTCAAAGGTGATTTTATACAACATTACAGTCAAAGGCCAGAAAATGTGTGCAATTGTGATTGATAATGGCAAAGTACGATAATTGATTTAAATATTTGTCATAAACGATGTTATTTTTGCTTGAAAATACGTTTACCGGAGAAAATTGAAAAACATTGAGAAAACATAGATGCCCTGTGAAGACATGTATCGTACACCGTATGAAATACATGAAAAAATGTAATTTTTTTCTTCTCTCATTTTAAATCACTACAAATGTTTATTACAATACAAGTATACATATATGTACATACATTGTAGTATGCAATCGAGCAAACGATTAAATGTGTGAGTGAGCGAGTGAGTGAATGATGTACGACGTACGGACTTCGCTCTTAGGATGACGCACGCGCTCGCACTACTACCTCATGGGTGACGCAAGGACCCTTGCGTCAACCGAATGGTTGACGCAAGAGTTGGCCCAGAACCCGCCTTTTCCTACTACTAACTTCAGATCGATATTTTACCCCATTCGACATTTTCCTAAGGCTCTCTATCCCTCCCCAGAGAAGAATTCGGTTGATTTTTTTTCTAAAATAAAGTTTGAAATGAGAATCGTGCTCCTTGAATATCAGTGTTTTTCTATTAAAAACAATAACAATGTGAATTCGTATCGCCCTCTTACAGCGGTTCTCGTTTTGACATTTAAACAACGTAGAATACTGAAATTTTGACAGCTCGCTATATTTGATTGACTGCTATGAAAAAACCGCTGTTGTGTGTCGCTACTTTCAAGGCATCAATAATGCTCAAAACTCACGATGAAATCCATGAAAAAATTTCAAATTGAAATTTCGGAAAAAAATTGGGTAAATGTGGCTGGCCCCACCATGTTGAAATAACGAAGAACCGATACCAGATTCATAAAATTTGGAGCTTGTGCGCAACGCAAAACCCCAGAGTTTGTGCTGCAACTGGTAGCGAGCACAAACTCGGCAAAGTTGAAAATTTGGAAAAAATGAAAATTTTGTATGGCGGCTAGAGGTGGCAGACGGATGGACAGAGGACAACATTTCGTGTCCGTCCGTCCTTTTATTGATTTGGGACAAACGGACATTTGAACCAGTGAGCATAAAAAGAACGTATTGACTCTTCGCCGATGAATACGAAACGCAAAAAAATCGCCGAACAAAGCGAAACACTAATCTGTTATTGGATCAATATGAAGCATGAAATCGTTGGCTACTATTTTATTTACGTTGCGCTTTGTTTCGAAGCGCGGCAAGTGTTTCATTTTGTTTCAGTAACAGAACGTTGTATCACTTTGTTCGGCGACGCGCTCAATGTACTGTTTTGGAAAAATATGCATGGTTTGATACAGTTTTGAGTCCATTGGTATGATGATTCATTTTAACACAACACCCATTCTATTTCGCTCACACTTAGGTGCACTTTAACGTTGCTGAAACATGTACGTTCTTGTTTCTATACTGCGCACATCTTTTTAACAGTGAAGCAGACTACTTTGTTATACGGGTAAAAATTGCACGTGAGTGTGAGCGAAATAGAATGGGTGTTGTGCGTCCGTGTTTTTGCCATGTATAGATTTCACTATATAAACCAATGTTTTCACGGCGTGAACACGCGTTCCGAGGATTTCATACAAACTTCCCATGTAGACGATCCGAAATAGGCAAAAGTCGAAAAAAAAGTTTAATTTTTTTTTCGATTTTCATTTAGTATTTTTTTCTGCTCTATTGGTGTTATCGGCACAAAACAGTACATTGAGCGCGTCGCCGAACAAAGTGATACAACGTTCTGTTACTGAAACAAAATGAAACACTTGCCGCGCTTCGAAACAAAGCGCAACGTAAATAAAATAGTAGCCAACTATTTCATGTTTCATATTGATCCAATAACAGATTGGTGTTTCACTTTGTTCGCGGATTTCTTTGCGTTTCGTATTCATCGGCGAAGAGTCAATACGTTCTTTTTATGCTCACGGGTCCATTTGTACAAATGTCCCATTTCAAATTAGGACAAACGAACATCTTGTCCCGATGTCCCATTGCCAAAAAGGACAAACAGACATTTGTCCCAATGTCCCATTTCAAATTAGGACAAACGGACATCTTGTCCTGATGTCCCATTGCCAAAAAGGACAAACGGACATTTGCCTCAATGTCCAATTTCAAATTGGGACAAACGGACATCTTGTCCTGATGTCCCATTTCCAAAAGTACAAACGGACAGTTGTCCTAATTTCCTATTTCAAATTAGGACAAACGGACGGACAAATTTTTTAGGACGGACGCACAAATTGTCTTAATAGGACACTTTTGGGTCGGACGAACACAAATTTTGTACGTCCCAAAAAAAAAATTTTTTGTTGAAAAAATTCATTTTGAAAATTGTAGAAATTTTTTTTCCGTTTCGAAAATTGTTATATTGATGCAAATGCAAAAAAAATGTTCCATTTTTTCTGAAATATTATTTATGATTGGGAATTCAATGGCAAAAGTGTTCTCATGTACATGAAAATATTTAGTCAAGTTGTATTTAGTTCAGGTCAATTTTTTTTACCAAGACAGAAAAACTATTCAAATCATTTATTTTGTACCACTATTTTTTCAGATCAGTGTTCAGTTAACGGTTTCAAATATGGAAGAAGAGATTAAATTAAAATTTAAAATTATTATTATTCTGCACCATACAGCGTTTCTTCGCCAGAGGTGGTTTATTTGATATAAATATTTGGTTGCATATTTACAATATTTATCACAGCCGGCGACAGCAGGCGCGAGTGACGAAAGCACCTCTGTGCTGAAAGTCGAACTCGCCTATATACACACGCAATTTCGAACTTTTTTCCTAAGAGGCCATCTGGTATGAATGAAGTATCGCTAGAAAGCCCTTGGCTCATAGGCCCAGAAAATGCATTCAAACTTGAGAATCGACCAACGGCCTCCATAAAAATATCCACTTGAAAATTGAACGCATGAGAATATTCTTGACCTGCGAAAAAAAGTTCGTTCCGAAATGCCTCATACATTCGTATAGCAACAAAAGAGACTCAAGAAATAAGTGAGCATAAAAGTGTCCCATGATTATGGGGCACTTTTATTCTCACTTTATTCATGGGACTCTTTTATGCAATACAAATGTATGAGGCATTTTAGTTGTGCATTTTGACTTGAGGCTTTTTTATGATAATTTTGATAACAAGGAATGCGAATTTCGATTTGGCGATAGCACCAATGGATTGGGCACAATAAATACTGTATCAAAATCGAAAAAAAAATTTAAACTTTTTTTTCGATTTACGGCTGCATTGCGACCGTCAACATGGGAAGTTTGTATGAAAACCTCGGAACGCCGCTGGTATTGCATTGGCTTCTATGGCCAAATGTACACATTGAAATATCTCGAAAACGGCTGGGTTAATCAGCAAAACGGACCGTGATGTCACTCCCAAAGGGAGTGTAAACACCCGGCTGGTTTGACGGCCTAGAATACAAATCCGGTGGAATTTGGGCTGATCCATGGATTCTCAGGATTCGACCTGATTCTAGCAGTTCAATTTCTTTCATAACAAAACATAGGTAGAATGTGTTTTCAGATGCACATAAAAAAGGAAGGACTGGAATCAGGCCAAATCCTGAGAATCCATGGATCAGCCGAAATTTCACCGGATTTGTATTCTAGGCCATTAAACCGGTCGGGTGTATACACTCCCTTTAGGGAGTGACATCACGGTCCATTTTGCCGATTTACCCAGCCGTTTTCGAGATATTTCCATGTGCAAAAATTTAATAATATTATTTTCGACTAAGGCGAAGCGCGCCTCGAAGGCTATTGGTTTCCAGGCGCCTCGGCGTGCTCGCGCTTCGCGCTCGCCCGCCTCGACCCCTAGATTTCAAAATGGAGATCTCATTTATTTCAGATCTAAAATCACTTGTAAATTGAATTTAGACTTTAAAAATATGTCCGAAATTGTGTTTGAAAAATCTATCCAAATCCAAAGTTGTGCTAACACAACGATGTTTATCTGAAACTGAGTATTTTGATGGACCAGATCCGGTTTGACACTGCCCTTGGCCCATCCTGAAGATCCACTTCCAGAACTGGGAGCAGTTCTGGTCGATCCTGAGGATCCACCAAAACCCACTTCCAGAACTTGGTGATTATTAAGATTGAATGTTGATAAATTTACAGGATTCGATCTTGATAACTTCCAAACGATATTATTAAGATTCATCCGATAACGTTATTATTTGAATATAGTTAATATCCTGATAAAAAGTTGATAGCGTTATTAAGATTTATCGGTATTATGATCGGATCTCAATAATCTCTCAAAATTATTAGGATGGTTATTAAGATACGAATATGGCACAGCTATAGCTGAGCTTACAAGACATCCAAAACGAATACGAGAGCTATTTGCTGTAATCATTTCCACTTGTGCACCAGATGATCCAATGAAATTGTGGGAACGATTCAAAGAGAGTCTTAGTGAGGATGTACTAAAACGTGTTCAAAATATGAACCCAGAAATCAATATTCAATTTTCGGATGACATTTTCAATGAAACACTTATTTTGATTGAAGAAAAATGTATGTCACTGTGCAACAAAACACTGTTTCAATTGGGACTACCAGCACCAAAATATCTCCAAAATCAGTTCATGAAAAAGGAGTTATTACGAGAGCGACAGTACGA